CCTCCGGGGCAGGCGGGAATCGAACTCATGCGGAGGTGGCTTTAGCTTCTCAGTGCAGTGCTTTAACCCGCTGCGCCACCAGGGAGGGCCCTATTATTTATTTTTTAAAAAAACTTTGACTTAAGTGCAATCTTAGATCACTTTTTCAATGCTTTATTGAGAAATACCACAAAATACAACTAATGCTGTTGAAAATATTAACACTGGGCCTCCCTGGTGGCCGAGGAGTTGTCTCAGTGCTGTCACCATTAATACCTGAGTTTGATCCCTGGCCAGGGAGCTGACCCACTTGGCAGGCCTCTTCTGTGTTGGCCACTTACTCCTCTCAGCAGTATATATATCAGTAAATCTGCCTGTTCTGCTCTCCACTTTGTATCTGGTGAACCCTCTTACTCCCTGCACCTCTGACCTACACCCCAGTTCTTCTATGCAAAAATAAATAAAATTTCCTTTTAAAAAAAGAAAGAATTGCAAAAATTTACTGCACTAAATATATTAATTTAATGCCAATTGTAAATATATTACAACTGTATTCTTTTTTACATAATTTTGCAAACCTTTAATTAAATCAACTGCTGGTTTCTAGTGTCAGTCACAATACACATGGCAAGGGAGAATCTGAAAATGTATTGATATGTGTTTTTGTGTGTGTGTGTGTGTGTGCTTTAAATCAAATTTATTCATGTTCCTCTCCCATATAGGTTCCTATAGTTCCTGAACTGGTCTTCATAAAGTTTTCCAAGTTTTGTAAATATTATTTCTTTGTTTTTAAAAGATTTATTTATATATGCATACAGAACTGGGGTACAGGCCAGAGGTGCAGGTGCAGTGAGAGGATTCACCATAGACAGAGTGGGGAACAGGACAGGCAGATTGACAAAGTACACTGCTGAGGGGAGCAGCGGGTAAGACAGGAGAGTTTTGCTGCACCATGCGGATCACTTCCTGAGCCGTGGGTAGAACTCATACTGAAGCGCCTGCAGCTAGCTTGCTGTGTTGCATCCTACCCGCTGTGCCACCAGGGAAGGCCCGTAAATATTATTTCTAATCATGGGAAAATGTGGTTATTTTTAAGAAAGCCATTTATGTTATTTTACTAGACGTGATACACTTTTCCCTTCCTTTTGGTATGAATTAGCTATAACAAGTTAAGAAGATTCTATTAAGAAAGTATTTAAGAGAGAAGCAAATTGACAGCCATGTATTTAAGTTCAACTACTGATGAATTTAATCTTTAAAGAGCTACCCTATTTGATGTAGTATTCTCTAAAAAAATATCAATACTTAATGTGTAGATGTATAGTGAATAAAAGGAATCAAGCATGAGTAAAAATTTATTCTTAGGAATCAAAATTGTTATGAATCTCAATGTCAGGATAACACTTATATGTGTGTTTGTGTGTATATGTTATTTTTAGGAATTTTTAAGTAAATTAAACCAAATTATTGATAACTTTAGAGTAATTACAATTTTTTTGCAACTAAATTTCCTCTATATACATTAATGAAATCTATAATATAACACAGTTGTTATCAATGTATACATTTTTTGTAATACCTAATTCTTCCTCCATTGTGCATCCTTTATTTTGTGACCCAGAAACTCCCAAGACTCTGTTGAACAGTATAGAAAAGGCACTGCCCCAGACACCTAAAATAAAATAAAAACAAAAAAATCTTAGAATGCACACAGATTTAAGTAGTCAAGCAAACTAGTGGTAGATTTTGATCACTTACCCATTAAGAAATGCAGGGGGTTTTCTTCATATTTCTTCACAACTGTTCCCATAAAAAATTTGCTTCCAAATAAGTCAGGAGCCATAAAAGTACCATATTTAGCCATGCCAATCTCATATGGACTAAATTCAACCCAGTCTGAAAAATTATAAATGTCACAAAAATAAATAAAATGAATAAAGACATTCCAGGTACATAATTTGCAATTATTTGACTGGCCATGTTGGAAAATAAAGGTGAAAAATAATTCCAATATATATTTTATTTGACCAAGCATATCAAATCATTATGATTTCAACTTGTAATCAACACAACTAAAAAAAATATTTTTCATAAAAATTATTCCATTAATAGGAAAATGCTGCAGGATGTACACAGTTAAAGGTAATTTCAACAATGACATGACCATTCTTTCTTTTATATAACATTAAGAAGATGTATCTATACACAATGAAATACTAAGCAAATATTAAAAAAAAGATGAACTCTTGTCATTTGGGTTACATGGATGGAACTGAAGGAGATTATACAAAGTGTAAAAAGGCAGAAGGAGAAAGACAAATACTAGATGGCCTTATTTATATGTAGACTACAGAGACAAAAAACAGAGGGTCAGACAAAACCAAACCTAGAAACCTAACTGTAGAATTAAGGGTATCAGAGGAGAGTAGAGAGCAAAATGTGAAAGGGTCCAAAGGACGACGGTGGAGGACTGTGGGAGCCTTAGTGGTAGGCATGGTGTGATAACATACACTTAAAGAGGTGTAATTCTGTATCTCTAATCATATACAGTGTTGTAACCAATGTGACTTCAGTAAAATTAATAACATAGACAGGAAACAGCAAATATATAACCAATTGTCCATTATATTTATGGCACTTATAGAAGTTATGGGGATCTTACAAATGAAGAAGATAGAATATAAGATTCCTTCTAACTTGCAAAATTGACTAACTTTTGTAAAGAGGGAGGAGTCCCCTTGGTCTACAGTACAGGACTGTGGGTGCCTTGGTGGTGGGTGAGGTATGGTAATATGCATCTAAATTGGTGTGAATCTATACACCTAAATCATGTATAGTGTTGTAAAACAATGGAAAACAATGTTACCTTAACTTAAAAAGTTCAACAAATACCATATGACTATAAAAATGAAGTAATCAGGAAAAACCAAGACATCTTTTGTGAAGTCCATCTTAATTCTAAAGTACGGAAAATTGAAAACTGCTGACTCAGATATAAAGTACAGGAAGGTGATAGACTAAATTTTCTCATAATGCACACAGTTTATAAAAATGGAAGAAAGTGTTTTCTAACACTTACCTTTTTCTCATATTTAATTTTGTTTATTCTATTTTTCACACACAAGATTACACTAAGTGTTTACGTTGAATGTCTAAGTATTTTATTTTACTACTGAAGTATCTATAATACATATGTTTATTAAATACAATTTACTGATGATGTTACTTTCAAAATGAAAGTATTATATTGCCTCAGCAAGGTAGTGAGGTGGAAGAGTAAAAATTATTTAACAATTAAAACAACTAACATTTATTTGTTTAAAATCCATAAAGGGGAAAGTGTTTAAAATTATTCTAAAAGGGAAGGAAGACATTCTCGAATATTGTGGGAGCAAAGTTGCTGATACCATTTCTGTAAAATAAAATAATTTGGTTCTTTGATTTTTTAAAATACAACTCAGAAATATTTTGACTTTTTTGGAATACTTCTTTTCAAATGAAGCAAATTTTAAAGAAATAAAATACCAACATGTCTTTATTCAAGTTTACTTCTTTTTCTCAAGTAAAACTAGAGTCTTCCTAATATGAAGTTATGGGTGTCTGATCTGAGTACTAATTCAAATGACTAATGTTTGATGGCTTTGTTCAACTCTGCTGGAAGAAACTGCTTGAACCTCCTTATCACACCAGCTTAAACAATGAAGGTTAATTGAAAGCGTACTGTTCAGTTCAGTAACAATATCTCAGTTGGACACCAAGTCCAAATCAGACACACTCAGATCCAAAGACTACCAACTGAACATAAAACATCCTTGTCTCAAAATATTCCCAAATTATCGCTCACTAAAGTATTATTTATCCTTTAATGACTTGAGTCAGATTTTTCCCAGAATGACTAGTGACGAAAGTTCAGAAACAAAGAGACTACTGTGAAAATGCTGGAACAGTCATAACTTCAATAACAAACGTTTACATCTTTATGTGTCTATCACATTCAGTTTTATAGAAGCTTATGTGATTGTCTTAACTACTCTGTAAGACAAACCTAATGTTTATTAATATTCTCCATAATGAGGAAAACAAGAATCAGAATTCAATGACCTCCCCATAGTTTTTCAGTTCAGAAGCAGAACAAGGCTTCCAAATTAGTCTGCTGTTTTTATGGCCATATCCTAACATTTCTGTAGTAAAAAAGTGACTACTTGGTCATCTGTGGATTTGACTAGCAAACGAGTGGGATTTAAAAAACAATTTCAAGAACCAAGATGTCATAAGGCAATAGCTATGGGGAAAAAAACAAAAAACAAAAAAACCCAAAGAACAATTTCACCATAGCACATCATTGTTACACTCTTCCTGTGACCCCAGGCTAGCCCAGGTCTTCACTCTCCCTATGACCCCACAGTAGTCAGGTGTGTTTTCTCACTGTTGTTAGGCCTAAGGGTCATCCTGGGTTGCCACTGCACACCTCTTCCCATCCAGTGCTAACATCTGCCATTCATAAGTGTAGTCTATTCATCCTTAAGATCCAGACCTCTGGTTTTTCTCAAACAGCTTTAATAGAACAGCTTTCATAAAACACATTGTTGAGATTTACTAGACACTTAATTCTGGTCTGTTACTTTTTAAAATATATGCTATATCCATATCCACTTGTGCCTACTTAAATAGTTACTATACATCCCTGGAATAGATAAGGTCATATAGAATGGGGACAAAATACTGTGAAAGGGGTGGAGGATTGGCTTGTATCTGGCCTGCTCCTTCTAGAAACAGATATTTTAATAAAAATAACAAAGGACTTTTGAGACCCAAGTTCTCAGCTCTGCTACTCACTTTTTTATGTGCACACATCATTTAATCTTTCAGAGATCTGTACCTTCTTTTGTAAAATAAAACTAAATACACCCCTCTCCTTGGTGGCAGTAAAAAGTGAGTAAGATAATAAATGCTTTCTGAGCCATAAACATGATACATATTTTAGTCATGTAATGATGCGGTGTTGTAAACAAATGTTACTGCAATAAAAAGAAAAAAAATAACAATTGAGAAAAACTTGCCTAATGGATAAATTTCAGGTGTACCATTTTATAAACTATTTAAAAAATTCTTGCCTGAGAATATCTCTTGAGAAAAAAAGTGAGAATTTAAAAATTGCAAAAGAACTCTGGATATAAATCTGTTAAAGTGCATGGGCATGCTGTTCACAATGATTTTAATTTTCTCTTTTTTAAAATAATTTATTTATTTATGCATACAGAACTGGGGAACAGGCCAGAGGTGCGGGGGCACTAGAGGATTCACTAGAGACAGAGTAGGGAGCAGAGCAGGCAGCTCGACGAAGTACACTGTTGAGGGGAGCAGAGGGTGAGACAGGCGAGGTCTGCTGCATCATGTATCACCTCCGGGATGGGGATCGAACTTGCACTAAAGCAGCTGTGGCTATCTTGCATTGAGTGCTGCATCCCAACCTGCTGTGCCACCAAGGAGGGCCCTCACAATGATTTTTAAGCGATGGTGTGATGGATGCATAGATATTTTTCCTAAAAATATTATGCATCCTACCAGGCATGGAAAGAAATGTTATCACACTGCAGGTTGGGACTGGCAGAGGCCTCTCAGAAGGATGGTTTCACATAGCTTTAGAACACCCAAAAGAATAGAAGCCTTCATAGAAACTAGTATTAACCACTGAGATTTAACAAAATGAGGTATCTAGTTCACCAGCCACAAGTATAGAATAAGAGTTTTTAGGTACTGAATTGTAGAAATTGGAATAGTGCTTTGGGTATGAACATATAACAAATTACTCAAATTCAATGGAAAATATCCAACAAGCAAAAACTATTCATGGTCTAAAATCCAGTGAAGGAGTCTTTACATACCTGCAAACATCAGCTCTGAGACATCAGGCTTAACATGGAGACACGTGAAGAGAGGTAAGGGACATTGTGCAGCATTGACTTTTTCCTTCAAGCTGCTCAAGGTAGTGTTCATTCTCTGCCCACAGAGGAAAGAAATGGTTTTAGGTTATAAGGATAGAGATCCATAACACACAATCAAAATATTTATTTTTCTGGTCACTTCAAAATTCTCTGAGTCTAAAAAACACACAAAAGTATGCTCTATGGAAGTCACTGTCCTCATTTTAAAAACAATCATAACTCTAAGGACTATGTCTACTGTAAAACTGGAGAATTATCTGGCAAGTTTGGAGCCAGGAAATTAGCCCCCAGATTCCCTACCACAGGCTCTATCTCGACCCTGTTTTATCTTCAGATGAAATGTCACGCCACCATCATGTGTCAGTGGATTTATTCCATGTGATTCACTTCCTTTTCTGACTCTCCAAGCAGCTTCCCCTCTTCCTCTATTTTGTAAAAAAATATTTTTATTCATCTGCTCATCTAATAAGATTATCATGGGGTTGGAAGGAAATGGACAGTTAGGTGTTTGTTGCATTTTTTCCAGGAAAAGGAAAATCACTTCTCTGCATCAACGCTGATAACAGGATGAACTCATAACTCCAGTTTGAAATGTAGAGTTCTGTCTGGCAGGGAGTGTGCATAGCTCAGAACACATAGTTGAAAGAATAGGGTGATTCAAATGTCTTTTACAAAATGTGTCACATTTTGTTTTATGTGGTTGACACAGTCTATTTGCATTAAAATGATTGTAGATGGAGCCCTTGCTTACATTGTGAATTAGTGTTTCTCCTATTAACATTCCAAAGATGTCAGTGAAGGTGACAGGCTGACCAGAACTTTTCTTTTTCCATAAAGACTCCACGTATCTTTTAATTTTCTGTGGTGTGAGAAGTAAAAGAGGATTGTAGCTAACGTTTTTCATTAGCTCTTCATTTATCTCATCTGGCCCTTTCTCTGGAAAATCAGGGTGAGAATATAAGGTTGACATATACCTGTAAAGGAAATAAATGACAATTGGTAAAAATAAAGTAAGGGAAGCAAGTATTCTGCCATATAAGAAATAAAGAACTGAAGAACAGGGGGACTGTTTGGTTAATTTGATTATCTGATTGAAGATATCCAAGGAAAGAATGCATCAATTGGGAAGAAGTTGGTCTACAATGGAAGCAAGATAGAGGACAGCCTCAGAGGAAACACTGGAATTTCCATGCACAGTCAGGAGAAGATACCCACCAGGCCACTGTTCACTGTCTACTGTACAGAAATGGACATCTCATTTAGATGTCTTTTACAAAATGTGTCACATTGTGTTTTATATGGTTGACACAGTCTATTTGTATTAAAATGATTGTAGACTGAGCCCTTGCTTACATTGTGAATTAGTGTTTCTCCTATTAACATTCCAGTGAAGATGACAGGCTGTCCAGAACTTTTCTTTTTCCATAAAGACTCCACATATCTTTTAATTTTCTGTGGTGTAAGAAGTAAAAGAGGATTTGAGTCATGAAGCAAACTGACTCAACTGGATAGACTTCCAGTCAAACAATCTGATAATTTGATGAACTATCCACACCAACAAGGATTTGCTTTGTAGGACCTCATTATACCCTGCAGTTTATGTTCATGTTGGTGTAATGATACTGGTTTATTGTTAAGGACATACTAAAAAAATGAAAAATCAAACATGCTTTTGAGTCTATATGGTGATTGGTTTTGGAGGTATTCAAGATATGTTTCATTCATTATGAAAACTCTTCAAAGTTCTTGTTCTTGTTGCCAAGAATAGTTTCTACCTCCATGGACCACTGGTTTGCCCTTCGCTTAATAAAATGCATATTATGTAACTGAATATAATTTGGATTTTGCCTTGAATACTAGAAAACTTAAACCTAGGCTTGTTTCTAATGTCTCCCAAAGTTGTAGGTCATAACACTAGCTTTTAATCTATTTTATCATTAGATTTTTAAACTTCATTTCACTTATATCTTTATTGTGTGTATTCCAGTTTTACTTCATAATAAGATATATTGAGTCCACTCTTAATAAGACAAAGTAAAAATTCGAGAAGAATCAAAAAGCTAATGACAGTAGCGATCAATTATTTTAAATAGTAGGTGAAAAGGAAATGATATAATTACTTGGCGAATGGAAGTTACTATTCTTAACTATGCAGAAGGATGACATAATGACTCAAATCTCATTTACATGATTATCTGTATCTGATGCTCTGTCATCTGTATTTGACTGATCTTTAAATGAATCAAATCATGATAAAAAAAAAAAAAAACTTCTGCATTATGATTATCCTTAGCAATCCAGAACACTTTGAAAGCAACAAGGTCTGAAAACTCTTCTTTTCTGTTCCCTTTTTCCCAGTGTTAGTTACTAAATCTAGACCAAGAAAATCCTTTCTTTGGGGCTAGTGGTTTGTCCAAAATCTAGGGCTATGTACCACATAGAGGTTGCACTTTTTTTTATATATATATAACAGTTTATTTTACATCATTTTGTACATTTTTTTTTTCATCTCAATTGTAATCCCCGCAGATTTCCCATCACCAAGTCACCCATGTGCCATCACCATAGTCCCGTGTACTTCCCTCCATTTTTTATCCCATTTCCCACTCCACCCCCACAAAATGTCTCTGGTATATGGCTGTTCATTATTCTTATTATTTTCTCGCCTGGTCCATTATACTCCTGCTATGAGCAAAACCATCCGGTATTTTTCTTTCTCTTTCTGGCTTATCTCACTAAGCATTTCCAGCTCCATCCAAGTTGCTGCAAAAGACATGTGTTTCTTTTTTTTTTTTTGGTTGCTGAGTAAAATTCCATTGTATATATGTACCACATCTTTTTAATCCAGTCATTTGAGGTAGAACTTTTTAAGAGACCAAAATGTAGAGGTTATCAATTCAATCCTCCCCCTTCCCTCCAGCTTTCTCTTCTTCTTTCCCTCCCTCCTGATATAACTGGCTTGAAAATACAAGCTCTACCAAAAGACAGAAAGGCCTAGGATACCACAACCATTGCCACTGGGTAAATGTTTTCTGTTCAGCATATTTGAATCCATATTCATTAAAATCTGTAAGTGTGAATTGACAGACCTTTCCTAATGTCCTTATGGCAGCATCCAAGGCTTGAATTTTGACTTTGGTGATAGCTAAATATGCAGTGGTAGGCATTGGCTACCTCTTGTTTCTTTGATTGCACCAGAGCAGGATTCAGCTATTGCTATTTTCTGTGTGTAAGCTATGATTAAAAGCACATAACTATCACTCTGATTTTAAACTTTACTAATATATGGGTAAATAATTTACCAATTACACAAAAGTTGTTTCAAAAGTTGTCTTAAATGTAGAAGAACCTCTATAGTAGTTAATTTATGAATGAAAAAGTCTTTCATTTATGTCTCAATGTGAAAATATTTGCTTCTAATTTTTCATTTCATTACATGATAGAATATCTCATTCTCTCTCTTCAGTTAATTATAAAAATTAAAAAGCTAAATCATGCCAGAGAAGAGAAAATTCTTAGTTTAGTCCCCTGTTCAGTGTTTTAAATATCACTGACTGGCCTCTTAGGATTTGACGAATGAGAATCTCTGTGCTTATAAAGTGATAGAGGTGATTTTCATACACAGCTAATATTTGGAATGACTTGAGAAGATTCTTGTGTTAGTCAAGCAAATATCCAGAAATCTTAAAGAAATTCCTGGTGAATTTTTCCCACAAATGCAGTTACTGACAAAGTCTTAATTTAGTCATCAAACATGGTAAGTGGGAGAGATAATTAGTGAACAAGACTAGTACAATATTGTTTTCTCTAACATACATCTTGACCTTTTAACCCATCACCTCTTGTGTGACAGTTACTAAACTTGTTTTATTTTTCAAAGTTCCAGGAATTCTTCAGACCTTTAAACTAACTAAATCCCCCAGAAAAAAATTCCCTACATGAAGTGGGAACAGAGAAAGAGAAATACATTATAATTTCATTCATAGGCGGAATCTAGCAAGATCAAACAAAGAATCAGACAAAGGTGACCAACCCATGAAAACAGACAGCAAGTTTGAGACATTCAGGAGGGGAAAGAGATGCGAGGGGGAGAGTAGGAAACAGGATAGATGAGCATATTTGACTGTGGTGGAGATCTATAGGTGCTTTGGAGGTGGGAAAACTATGGTGGTCACATCTGAGGGGAGAAATCTTATACTATAAAAAAATAAACAAGTATGTTTAAAAAAATGAAAGTAAATAATGAAGAATTAGAGAATAAAAATAAAATAAGAAAAATACATATCCTAAAGGCTCTTTTCTCCAAATGCATTTTAGTCAGTTTAATGAATTAGCTCCATAGTGTGTGGATATGGAGCTGTTTCCATTTTCTTCTAGGCGGGAATGCCGTGCACACATAGAACTTAGTATCCAATTTAATGCCGTGCACACATAGAACTTAGTATCCAATAGCCCCTCAAGATAACACAAATAAACAGCTGTACTGAAGAGGAACTGTGCCAAACAAGAAAAAAACAGGATCACTCTCCTCCCAGTCCTCCTGGTCTTACATATACTTTTATATAAGTGAATGACAAACATCATCCAAAAGTAATTTCAGAAATAAATGAAATAGCGGTTACAGGGAAGTTTTATCCTACGTGAAATTCTCTCTTGTGATCACAAAAATCTTTTTGGGAGGTCCGGGGTTTCTCAGATATTTCCGTATTACCTTATGTGTGCCAAGTAATGGTCATATATCAGCAGACTGTAAAAACTTACACAACACAAGTGTGTAATTTGTTTTTCCAAGTCTTTCCGAATTCCTGCCTTTGAACTTTTTACCTTCTCACCTATACTTTTCAAGTGAGAACTGTTAATGTGAATCATCCTGGCTGGCTTTCCTTCCGTCTCAGGAAGTGTCTCTTCTCTTCATGGCTAACAGCTTCACCAGACTTTCCATCTGCCCGGTCTCTGATCTTTCCTATCCATGATCCAGTTGTACATCTGTTGTTCTATACTACTTTCTTCACCTTAGACCACAGAAATGCTCAAGTCCTAAATTCTGAAAGCAAAACCAAAACCCTTTCCTTAGTCTTAGATTTTGTTTCTTAAAAAACAAATTGTTCTTACTAAGTTTACTTTTGACCTTTCTCTCTACTGTTCTAGTAGCTTCTTATGCTTATAATTTCATGATGAAAAGTGTCCCTTATTTTTGTTTTGTAATGAATCTTTTTAAAACTGCAAAGATTTCCAACTCCATATTACTACTGCTAATAAAATATTTACTTCCTCCTGCCTACCCTTGAGTTCTGGAAGTTGTTTTTTTTTTAATACCTAATTCTCTTGTCTGATGGCTTTTTTGAAGTGTTCATTGAGGTTTCCTTTCCCTCTCTGGTTCACTAATGTTTGGGATGTTCTAGAATTCCTTGATGTAAGTGTTGGTGGGAATAACTGATTTGGATATAAGTTGGTAACTTTACCAAAGGTGGATGAGAAGGTATAATGGGACAAAAAGGAGTTTTGGCAGAAAATTCACATTAAGGAGAATAGTAGTACAAGTCAAAAAGGTATACGTGAAGGAGGGAGCAACTAAGAGAAGATTTTTTAAAAGACATAATAGGAGTGAGCTGAAAGAAAGAAAAGCAAGATGTGAGTATTTTAATCTCCAACCACATTCTCCCTGACTTCCAAGAAAAATAAAGAAGAATAAGAAAAGACACCCTTTTATTTGCAAAATAGGTGGTCTTTGGGTGATAATCTAACTTATGAAACCTAGAATGAGTAGACTTTCACGCTATTATTATAGACCTTCTATTATAGACTATTTTAGAAAGTCTATTTTCTGCTGTAGACTTTCACTTTCAAAAAGTGGAATAAATAAGAGAAAACTAATCTCGGGGGAATCAGACACTAAGGATAGAATAAAATTTATGTATATATAAACATGTGCCTGTAATATTGAAATGATTGGGCTATCACGCTTAAAATTCTTTTAATTAGACTTGGTTTCAGAATCCTGACAGCATTATGTAAGCTCTATAAATCTAACCAAAGCAATGACGGCAGCTCTAGCCAAGTCCAAACACACACTATTATATACCCAAACCAGCACTCCAAGTCTGGTTTTTCCTTTTTCTTTTTTATTATAATTATTATTTTAATAATTTAATAGTTTACTCCAAATCTGGTCTTTCTTTACTGAATTTAAGAAAGTGAGCTTCATGCAGTGTATTTATCAATGACAAACCATAGGGAACTAACAAACAGTTAATACAAAGAAAGAAAACCACTAACAAGTAATAACAAAATACTTGAGCAGGAGAAATAACGTAAAGATCCAAGTTTTCCCATCACATTACTCATTAAACAGGGAGGTGCCTCCTCTTTAAAGACAAGAATAATGATGGACTACACCCTTCTTTCAAAAGAGATAAATCATTTTGAGGGTATACGCAAAAAAAAAGGTGGTAATCATGGTTCCAGGTTTTCGTTACTTAGCTCAAGCATCTGGTTCAAATATTGAAGAAACTATAGATTCTTTAAATGTGGAATATGCACCTGTCTGGAATATGCAACTGTCTAAGGAAAGGCTGTAGATTATTCAAGAAGCCCAGAAAGGGGACTCAGAAGCTTGAGTTTATATGATAACCCTGTTGCTGACCTCACACAAATCACTTGACCTCTGAGTCAAATTCTCTTTACTAGAGAAATAAAGCACCTTCACACCAACATTTAAACATTCTAGCTATCTATAAAACAATATTTTGATAGATGACTTTTACATGTCTGAATGATTAAAAAGCCTTGGAAATCAAAGCAGGCGCCTTGGAAATCAAAGCAGGCATGCTGCAATAAGATGCTACTTGTATTTGGGAAATCGATGCAGAGCTAATATATATGGTTTTCAATGTGCTACGCAAGATAGGGAGAGCAAAAAACATAGAGCAACTTTTCTGAAAACATTTTACATATGGGTGAAAAAAGTTATCTATAGCATACTAAGAAATATATGCATGTTTTAACTATCTCTTCCAATATAGTCAAGCTTAAACATATCTAAAGAATTAATTTCATAATTAGTTAGATACAAATCAGTGAAATGTATTACATTTCTGCATTGAAAGTTTGTTTTCACTCTTCTGTATACTAAATTATCTTGCATTTTATTCTATTTGCCCTAAAGAAAATGAATACCTAGTGAATCACGGAGACTTAAGACATGATTGCTGAAAGATGACAAATCAGCAGATTTAATTAATTATGGGTGGAGTATTTATAGAGACTTATTTTAATTGATAGACATATATTTAACTACATTTTAAATTACAAGCAGGCTTAAAAGGAGAAATTTATGGGTATTTCATTTATGACAAATCACTGTTAGTTATGAATCTGCCTTAAAAACATTTTTAAGGAGTAAACTGCTGTATCAAGCTGGAACACTGAGTAATTTGAAGTCAACATTTAGTTTTATAAATCACCTTTTCCTTTCATCTTGATCAATGATAAACATTTAGGGTAGTATAACAGATATAAAATGTATACTAACCATGTGGAGCCAGAAAGACCAGCAATGTAAGTTGCACAATCCAAAATTCCTGACTCGTACAGTGCCTTCATCACCCCAGAGAACCCCACCATGGCTCGGAACCCGCCACCAGAGCCCAGTATGGCCACCACGGGCACCTGGAATAATGAAACAGAGATCATTTGCAAAGTAAAATCATAAAACATAGCCTTTTAATTTTTATTATATAATCATGAAGTTCACTCACCGTTGGTAGTCTAACTTTTAAAAAGAAAATTATGTTTCCTATAAGAAAACCCAGGCTCAGGTTAATAATGTCTCCTACAATGAAGCGTTCCAGGGTGGGTGGACATAGGGTCCAGAGATGTGGACAATTACCACTAGAGGAATTGGAGGGCAGAATAGACTTCACAGATAAAGTGGGGAGAATCCTGAGCTTGCTTTTTGAAAACACAGTGTCAAAGCATTTTAATTAGTGTACTGATTATTAACAATGCACAAAGATAATGCATTGGACAACCTAAACTTACTCTTAAAGATGCACTATTATTCACAAGGAAGGAAAATGGGAGAGAAGAGTGTTTTGGAAATAGATGCAGGGAGAATCAATGAAGCATGTTTGCTTCAGAGGAAGAGAACTGAAATTCAATAATAAGGGGAGTAGTGGGCCAGGCAAGAGAGGTCTGCTATGCCTTGTGGGTCAACTCCCTGGCTGGGATTGAACTTGTGCTGCAGTGGCTGCCTATAGCTTCATAGTGCTGAGACTTATCTCCTGCACCTCACCCTCAGGGAGGGCCCTGCCTTTTCACATTCTTAATCTCTCATGAGTGTACAATGGGGTTTTCCAGAAATTAGATGAAATGTGACATAACAACTGTCTGAATACAAGAGAATGAGATTCCAGCTGTATTTTGTTAAGGCAAATAATAATGATATTTATAAAAATGTAAAACAATGTCATTTTTCTCACAGTTTTTTGCTTAGGAACAATTATTTCCATAAACAATTATTTCTATTAATATGAACTGGACTTACTTAAATAAATACATGCTCTAATAGATTTTTCTCAGTTTTAGTATGACGAATACTAATATATATATATATATATATATATGACCTATCTGAATAACAACTCTTGGGAGTTTCCAATGTTTAAAGTGTATAAAGAATTTCTGAGACCACGGAGTTAATCTTGCACTAGGATATCTAAAACTAAAGAAAAAAGTTGACTTGTCAAGAAAATGTGAGCTTAGTACTAGTGAGGAAACTTTCACTCTCTTTATTTCTTTTCATGCTCCAAAATCCTCAAGAGGAGATCATTATAATTTCTGTTTCTCAAACAAGGAGTTAAGCACATAGAGTACCTTGTTCACATTCAGTTAATAAGTCAGGTGTTATCTCCACCAACATTCATGTTCATTCCTCTTATATTGTTCAAAAAGAAAGGAAAATCTTTACTGAGAGAAATCATTTGATATTCATCCAAACTATTATTTCAGATTCATGTTCACTTCAATTGATATCAGCACAATTTATACAATCAATGTAGGCTTGAAATGTGGATATTTTAATAGGCTTAGTCATTCTGAAATAACTTTCAAAGAAATAACTGGGGAGTTATAGGTGCAGCTGTTAGTTCTGGCTGTACATCTAAAAGATTCAAACAATGCTGTTGAGAGTTGATAGACTATATTTAGACCTAAAGGCACCCATATTTGGGTGGTATCATTTTTGTGACATTAATATTTCTCATACTTCTTTCATATGATGACAGAAAATGAATAGGGATGCAAAAAACCCTGGTTTTTTTGTTTGTTTGTTTGTTTTTAATTAAAATGCTTTGCTACTTGGGCTTACAGGTAATTTTCTTTCTTACAAAAGAAATTCTACATGCTCAAGGATTTGTTTACATTTTCAAAGATTTTAAGGTCTGATAATTATATAAAGATATATTTGTCACCTTGGCTCCTGCATTAGTCAAAATTTTCCATAACACAGAATCAGTAGGATTTACTTTTTTATCTATCTATTTATTTATCTATCTTCCTACCTACCTATCATCGTCAACATCATCATCATCATAATCAATTTACTTACTAGAATTTACTCATGTGATTTTGAAAACAACATGTACAAATCTGTAACATGAATCAACAGACTTTATACTTAGAAGAGTCAATTGTGTGGTTCTACTACAAAGCAGTCTGCTGGAGAAATTCCCTCTTACTTGGGAGGTTGGTCTAATTTTTTGTTCAGGTCTTCAATTGATTGAATGAGGCTCACCCACCATGTGGATAGCAATCCCTTATGTAAATGACACTGACTGGAATGTTTATTCATGAGAAAGATCTCCTCCAAGTTGACACATAAGCTAACTGTCACAAGCCCACCACTTTTAACTTGGCACCAATATGCATGTCCTTAAGCCACAATTAATCTCTAAGTAAATATAATAACAAGGTCATACTTCTGGCTAACATGATATCATTGCCCTGTGTACAACCGGAAATGTACTAATCTTTCTCCAGAAGAAGATGCAATTGGCCTTTGATGACATTTATTCCTCTGGATGTATCATTAAGTTAAACATGAATCTCTGTGTACACACACACATACACACACACACACACACACACACACACATAATCATGACAAACTAAGAAAAATTAAATACTCATGCCAATAACTATTCTTATTTCTAAACTAGTGACATGGTCATAGCTAACATTTTCAGGTATCTTCTTAAACCACCCATTCTGCATCCCCTTTACCTTCATCAAACACCTTGACTGGTCATGAGCAGGGTAATACTCTTTTTAGTAGCCTGACCTCTGACTAAAGTCAATGGAAAACTACAAACCCAGGACAGCTAAAGGCCTAGACCCTTTAGTAGTGGAGTCACCCATGAAGGTAAAAAAAACATGATCCACTGAGGTCATTTGGGCCAGTTTCCCATGTAACTTAGCTGTATCTTCAGGACATGTTCGACCCTATTTCATACATAGCACTTCATTTAATGTTAGTGTTGCTATGTACATCCAACTTCACAGATGGACTGGCTGAATAATACTCAGTTCATGATGGGCAACTCAGATCAAATGGTAACTTGGTGCTAGATGGTAAAATGCATCACTCTGTAAAAGAACACCCAGTAGGTGTCCTAACAGTCATCAGTAGTACAAAGCTATTGTACTTATTGGACCTGCACCAAATCTTAAGTGCCTGTTCAACAATTTACCTATGGGGGCTGCCAAAGGCCACTATCTGCCTTGGACACTTCAGGCATAATGAACCCAGATGATCAGGAGGCTCAAGTGGCAGAGCAGCTTGCATAGCCAATGAACCTCCTGTTATTCTGGGATGATTTTCAGATAACTTGGTACAGAGTAACACACTCCAAAGAGAGGCCCACTCAGCATTGTGCCTCTGTTATGGTTGTAGGAGGGGACAGAGACAACAACTTATCCTTGCTCATGGTAGGAATTTTGATATACCCCACATCAGTGGATCCCTAGAAATTTCATTGAAGTGGAAGGCTCTGAATTTATGTTGGGTTTATTTCCTACTAACTTACCAATATGTATGTCTGAAGTACATGCTGCTATATCCAATTAGCAAACTGTCATTAGTGTAATGGATATGTGTGATATCTTAGGGAAGGGAGAGGTGATCAAGACTCCTGTGGACTAATTATGCAAAAGGATACAGAGTTAATATATCCCTGAGGTAGGAAAGAAAAGCTACAAGCAAACTATTTCTGGTGGAATTTTTATAACAGGGTGAAGAAAAATCAATGTTACCAGGCCAATAGCTATAAACTAGGGACCAGAGGATGAATAATTTGCTCAAAGAAATTCTGATGCAGCAGCTATAATTGGAGCTGCATACTACTTAAGCTTATGATAATCCATGTCATTCTCTAAGGTCCTTGCGTTTTCTCAACAGGCCAAACAGGCAGGTTGACTAGGGATGTGGTTGGAATCACCACTCTTGTATTTTAACTTTTTCTTTAGAGATTTATTGGATGTATTTATGCATATAAGAGTTGGGAGGAGGCCACAGGTATGGGGGGGAGAGGTTATATGTTGCGGGGGGGTGGTGAGAGGATTCACCACAGGTAGCTCTACTGAGGGGAGCAGCAGGTGAGACAGGAGAAGAGATCTGCTGCGCCATGTGGGTCAGCTCCACACTCAGGGATCCAACTTGTCCATAGCTTCATAGTGCTAAGACTTAACCCCTTGTGCCCCCAGGGTGACCCCTCTTGCAATTTTCAAGTCCTTAATGTTAATGTGAATTTTTAGGATGTTAGTTTTGTTTCTGGCTTACTATTTTCATATCTCACCATGATAGCCCTCACCCCACAGGTCAGAGAACTATTGTGGGGATTCTTCAGTAGGTAAGGATCTACCCCAGTGATGAATCCTGGAACTGGAAAAATATTGCAGGAGGGGATCAGGAACTTACTGAGCTCACTGTGAGGGGGACTTGAGCTATAGTCGGAAGCAGAAGAAAACAATATTCTAGATGAGGGAAACAGATAAAGGAATAACAATTCTTATTGACAACTTAAGGGTGATTCCTAGTACTTCCATCAGAAACTGCTTTGCCTCCCACTCACCTCCAGATGATCTCTTTTTTTCTCTAGTCTTTCACTTATATACTTTCATTTACCTGATAAACTTAAGAACAGAATAAATTTAGAAAATGCAAAAAGTCTACTTCATACTCTTATTTTCATCTAATGCTAGCTATTTGTCCAAGTTGATGTATATATCCCTTATATTCTGCCTAGAAAGGAAATATTCTCCCTTGCAGTTCTATGAAGATTGGAATAAAATTTTCTTCTCTCATTACCCTCTTCTTCTAATCTAGATGTTATTCACCTAACCCACTCTTCTCTGTTATGTTCACACACTTGAGGACACAGGAACTGTAGAGCATTTCACTTTAGCTAAGAGACTATTATTTGTAAACTTTACCTAAGATACTATTCCTGGGAAGCTTTATCTTATTTGAGAGGAAGAAAAATTTTAACTGTGGCCTCTGAACAATCAGAATATGTTGAAAATCTACATGCATAAAGTCTTACAAGTCTTACTCTTAGCACTTTCTTCCAACCAAAATTGATACTAATCAAGAGACTATTCCAAAAATCCTT